CTTTTTCACTGCCAAACACCCCCTTTGATATTCAGGGCCAGGCCATTATTGTTTTAAAAGGTCAAATAAAATAGAGGGAGAAGGTGGCCATGTGCAGCTCAGGGTGAAAATCTTGGTTCTGCACCAGAGAGTCTGGATTTGCATCCCAGGCGCTGTTTCCTCCTGGCTGTGTAGCTCTGGGCCGCTTGCCTACCCTCTCTGTGCCGGATGGTCTTTGTTTCTTTGCGCCTTTCCTCCGGCTGGGGAGGAGAGACCATCTCCCTGGGTGGAATGGGAAATGCTGGGCACAAGGCTGGGCGTACCTGGTGAGGACCCAGCAGGAGGCAGACCTGGGGCTCGGGCAGGGTCCCCCGAAGCCTCTGGGTTCTGCCTAAACTCCCCGGAGCTGGCTTTTGTGCTGTGCCTGAGCTCTCTGAGCAGACACTTCCGGACGCTCGCGTCATCCTCAGTCACCTGGTCATGCTAACAAAGCCCACTTCCCAGCTTCCTGGCCGGGATTCGGGAAATAAGGAATGTCAGGCCCAACCGCGACGCTTGCTACTGGGCTTTACAGTCCCCCCCCAACCCTGCCCCAAACTGTCTGCATACGTTTGCTTTAAGGAAAAGTACTAGAAATGGGTATCAGATGATATTAACTGTTATTAGCTCCGAACAGAGGATTGTGGGTGATTTTAATTCCAGAATTATTATTATTTCGCTTCTTTGTATTTGCTAACTTCCCTACGGTCTGATTTGTGTTTTGAAAAGGAAAAATAAACAAGTAAAGCTTTCCTTCCCTGGGCCTTTGCCCTGAACTCTTCCGGCCCGAGATGTGCTAAGATGTGCTGGGGTCCCTTTGGGGCTGCTGAGGGGGGCCGGCCTAGCCAGAACTGTGTGGCCTAGGGCAGGGGTGCAGGCGTAGGGTGACCCCCTTTGAGCCCTGCCCACCCAAGCCTGCCTGGAGATGCCCAGGGCTGTTCCCCAGGCGCCCATAAATGCCTCGTAAGTGTGACGCATGGCAGGGAGGCTGGAAATGCTAACACAGCAGTCCTGCTTATTTAGAGGGGGCGAGCGGGGGCAGGGGGCGAGCCGAGGCTGCCGCAGAGGGGCGGCTGGGGCGGGGGGAGACATTTCCTGTGACAGCAGAGCTATTCGGATGAAGCCCAGCTCCCCAGGGCTCCTTGCTCTGCCTGCCGTGGAGCCCGCTATAGGGACTATGTGGGGGCATAGGGTTGAAGGACAAAGCAGGCAGGAGCAGAAGCAGAAGCAGCTGTGGGGCCCTCCCCACCCCTCACCCCAACCCTGGGCCGCTGCCCCCCTGCCTGGGCTGCTGGGCTCCGGAGGCAAGCTGACGACTCAGCTCCTGCCCCCGCCGGCTCAGCGAGTGTGGTTTCAGGCCAGTTGCTTCTCTCCTAGCCTCCCTTGGTGGACCTCCTCTTCCCCGTCTATAAAATGGGTATGACAGTCCCTTCTGCCTAGGGCCGTGGTTCTCCACCTGGGCCTGTTTGGCTCCCAATCTGCAATGCCTAGAAGCACTTTTGCTTTTCACCCCAGAGAAGGAGCTGCTCCTGGAATCTTGTGACCCAAGGCCAGGGATGCAGCTGCCTTCCTGAAAGTTTCCGGTCCTCATGTCAAAGGCACCGAGGGTGGGAAACCCGTGCTAGGGTGAGGAGGGGCATTCGCTTGTGCGCGGGAGCGGGCAATGACCGATGATGGACGGGCTGTTATCCAAGCTGCGGAATGGGGACCTTGGCCTCTTGACCTCTAGAGGCAGGGCTCCGAACCTGAGCTCGGGGACAGGATACGCTGTTTAGGAGAGGCTGGGCTATGACTTTGGGTCCGGCTAACCTTGTTTCTCCTTCTCCCCACTGCCTGGAAAATGTCAGAGTTTTCCAAATGGCCACAGGCATCTCTCCCTCCACCCTCCAGCCAAGGTCAGGGTCTGAGTGGCGTCCTCAGGGACCGGGGCTGCTGCTCTGATGTACATGCCGTCCACCTCCCCGGCCTCACTCAGACCAGCCCCAGGGGGGCGAACACAGCACTGGTCTGGCCCAGAGAGGTTGGGGAGGACAGAGCACTGCCCGCAGAGGCCCCTTTCCTCCTAGACCCCTCAGGACCCTTGGGGACACGCCCAGGGCGACACAAAGGGGAAAGCGTGTGTGTGCATGTGCGGAGTTGTTGGTACTCAGCCCAGAGACCCTTCATGGGAGCACCCCCATCCCCGCATTGCTGTGTTGGCCTATTCACAGCTCACGGCCACCTACCTTCTGTACTGCAGGACTGACTGTAGCCCCCCAAGGCAGGATGGGGTCAATGGCCGTGGGACCTGAAGATGCCCCTTGCTTCACAATGTGATTTATGCTCCAAAGTCCCCACAGTGGACCAGGCTGATGGGGGACATCGGTGCTGGGCCTTCCCCACGCCCCACACCCTAATTCCCTCACTACCTCAGCAAATGCATATCCGAACCCCTGTCTCAGGCTCTGCTTCTCACGTGGGGACCGGACCTAAGGGGCGTGTTTGTGTGTGTGTTTGGGCATATATTACTGTGATGACTTTGTATTTAACATCGTGAGGAGGTGGAAGAAGGCAACACTTGTTTCCAAATTGTAGCCACCGGGTACTGTGTCTAGCAGTGGGTTTGCTCTGCCGGCCCACACGAGGCCGAAGGTGGCTTGAGACGGCAAGGCCTGGACACTGCAGGCGAATGCTGTAATCCCTTGTCCTCCTCATGGGCTGTGTTGGGGGGGGGCAGGCCACAGCCAAGAGAGGAAGGGCATCAGTCTCTCCATCCTCAGTGGACTCAGGCGCCGGGGGTGGGGGCCCAGATGCTGGTGAGGAGAGCCAGAAGGTTAAGAACCGGAAACTGCTTCAAACAGAAAACCTTAATTCCAGTGTTTTAATCACATCAAGATTTATGTTTTTCTCACACATGAAGAAGTGCAGAGGTTGGCAAGTAGGCCTGGTGTGCTTGTCTCTGCTGGTTCCTCAGCTCCACCATCCTGAGAAGGATGCCCTCATGGCCGGGGTTGCCAGATCGGGGGCGGCAGGGGGTGGGGTGGGGTTCGGGGAGTGGGGGGGCCTCTCACTTCTGCTGCCTCAGCACCGGGGGAGGGGCAAAAGAGCAGGGCCAGGGCCCCAAACCCGCCAACTAAAGCTTGGTGGGGAGTAGGGAGGGGAAGGATTTTTAAGGAACTTTCTAGAAGCCCCATCCATCCTCCTGCTTACATTTCAGTGGCCAGAACTGTGTCACAAGCCCACTCCCATACATAGGGAGCCCTGGGAGGCCTTATTTTCACTGGGGTTCTGACGGTAAGGAAGGAGGTGAAGAAGCCACAGGGGCCTGACAGAGGTACTTCTTTTAATGGTTGGGAGTTGACCCCTGATGTTGGGGTTGGGAGCTGAGAGAAGCCAGCATCATTGGCCTTTGGCCTTGACAAGCCTTGAATCCTGTTTCATACCCAGTTGTAGCGCCCCCTCCCGCGCTGCATTGTAATCTCGTTGTCCTCAAGGCCAAGTTCTGTTGAACTGGGTCTTAGCCTTGCTTTGGGGAATTGAAGGTGGGTGGGGGAGGCAGGTCTAAACTTCCCAGCCTGGAAAGAGTGGCTGCAGATTCCAGAAGGCAACTTTGGGCAGGGGTGGGGTGGGGGGTTGCTGCAGTAGCAGCTGGGAGCCAGAACTGACCCATGGTGCTGGGAATCTTTGGGAGAAATGTGGACCTTCTGGAGAGTCAGCAAGGCAAAGTACGAGCATCCAAGGGCGGGAGAGATGCAGGGGACACTCCCGCGGCACAGGGTCTCGGCGGATGGACCCCCTTCTTCAGTGTCTCACAACTCCCAGGCTGCCCCTGGGTCTCCTTGGCCACCCCTTGTGCAATCTTTGGGAGGGAAAGGAGAAGGAGAGGAGGGTGGGCTCTGGGTTCCATCTATGGATTCCAGCCCCAGGTGCTGGAAGGAGGCTACAGCAGCAGACACCGGGCCCGAGGCTGGGGGTCCCACAGGTGAGAGACCCCGCTACCCCAATTTATAAATCACCAGTCCCCTCCCTTTGACCTCTTAGCAATGACACCAATGTCCCCCACGTGTCTTTAAATTCAAAGACAGCTGAGGAAAAGTCCCAATAAACTTTGCATTTTTTTCCCAAGGGAAAGGAGGGAGGCACCCGTCTGTGGAAGCTGCAACATGTGGGTCCCCCGTAAGAAGGGCTTAACCACACCACTGGGAGGAGGGCTGCCTGGTCTCGCTCACAGAAAGGCGGGGGAAGTGGTGGCCCTCATGGTGAAAACCTTTCTCCAAGGTGCTCTGTGAGCTCGGGTGTAGACGAACACAAAGAAAACAGGCCCAGGAGGCAGCAGTGAGCAGACTCTTTACTCGGTCGCATTACACACCATCAACCACCGGCAGCGGCTCAGTCCTCCTTACAGGGGACAGTTAATACAAACAAAAATAGTTCTCTACGAAACAAAGTTTCTAGCCCTCCCAACCCTCCTTCCTAACTCCCTCCCCCAGACGGTGAGTTCCTTGGTCACCAGGCCTCACGGAGTCTGGTGGGTTGCAAAGGAAAACAAAGAAGAGTTGTAGGCAACTGGACCTCCCGTCCGCTGGCCGGTGGCAAGCCAGGGACAGGCGCAGGGGGTGTCCGCAACAGTCGCGCGCGCGAGTGTGTGTGAGTGTGTGTGTGTGTTGGGAGGCGGGACCTGGAGGTGTCGAGGTGAGCAGCGTTTCTCCCCACCCCCGTCTCACCGCCAGCAAAAAAAAAAAAAAAAAAAAAAAGGGTGGGGGGCGGCAGGTAATAGAAAAGAAAAACTAAGACCCAAATCACAGGCAGCGGGGCCAGCGCCGCACCGCGCCCCCTGCGGCGGCGGCGGGCACTGCCGGGGCGGGGCGGGGGCCGCGGGGCGCGGCGGGCGGGAGGACTCTGCTGAGTAGCACCTGGGAGCAGCTCGGGCCGCACCCTTCTCGCCGCCCGGCCTCGGACGCCGGGGCCCCCGAAGCCCCGAGCCCCCCCGCCCCCGGCTCCCCCGGCGCGGGTCGTCCGGGCGGGGCTCAGCAGCCCAGGCGGGCGGCCAGCCCCAGCAGCAGCAGGCAGCCGAGCAGGGTGGCGGGGCGCGGGGCGGCCCCGGGCGCGCGGTCGCAGTCCAGGCCGCCGTGGTCCGCGGCGGGGTCGCAGCGGGGCTGCTCGCAGCGCACGCCGGTGTAGCCGCTCGGGCAGGCGCAGCGCTGGTTCTGCACGCACGTGCCGCCGTTCTGGCAGAGCAGCTGGTCGTCGTCGCACACGTTGGCTGCGGGGCAGAGGGGCAGTTAACGCGGGCGGGGGCCCCGTGCACCCTCCCCCCCGCTGGAGCTTCTGCGACTGAGGCGCGGCGGGGCGGCGGGGGCTGCTGGAGGCTCAGGGCGCACTTGGTGCGAAACGCCCCTGCGTGCAGGGCGACAGTGGCCGGGCGAGACCTGGCCTCTTCTCTCCCGCCACTGCCCGTGTCTCCCTGCTCCCGGGCCCACGGGCCTTGGGACGCACCTGCTCTCTCCCCTCCGGAGCTTTGCACCTGCTGTTCCCTGCGCCCTTCCACCCTCTCCCGAGGCTAGCGCCCACTACTCGTCCTTTCGGTCCCGCCAGGCCCTCATTTCCTCGGACAGCCGCCCTTCCTCCCTCCCTGTCACAAACCCCAACCGCCAGCTCCACCTTTGCCCCATCTCCCTTCGCAACTAACCCCCAGCTCCGCCGCCCCATAGTTCCCACCTGGCACCAGCCAGAATTCCTGTCGCATCAGACCCCGCCCACGGCCCCAGACCCCGTCCCTCGCTCCACCCACAACCGAAGCCCCGCCTCCGGAGGCACTAGCCCCCCCCGGTGCCCCGCCCCGCAGCAGCAGGCTCCGCCCACCGGGCGCGCACTCACGGTAGCAGCCCTGGCGCCAATAGTGCGTGGGGAGGCAGTCGTCGCACTTGGGTCCCGCTGCGCCCTCGCGGCACTCGCAGAAGCCGGTCTCGTTGCACCGGTCGTGCACGGAGCCGATCTGGTTGCAGTTACACTCTGGAAGGACACGTGCACGGCGTGCGGTCAGGACGACCTGTGGGCGTCCTCCGCACGGACCCGCACCCGGTGCGGCCCCCCATCCCTCCAGCGGGCTCTCCGTAATCCCCCGGTGGTGCACCCCACACCATGTCCATGTGAGCTCACGGCTGCCCGAGGGTCCACATCTCTAGGGAAGGCTGTACTGTCTTGGTTCTCTAGCATCCGTTACCCACTCTTTCTCCCTGGCCCTGTTGCTGTGTGGCCCGGAGCAGCCCCAACCTCTCTCTGGGCCGTACGTTCCGTCTGTGTACCTGGAGGGAGCGCTGACCCTTGGACGCTCCAAAGGGCTCCAAGATTCTTGTCAGGTGGGGGAGCCTCATCAGAGGCAAGGCTGGTTGTGGGCAGTAGTCCGCCTCTGCATCTCCTCTCCAGGGCGGGGTAGGGGTGGGGGAGCAGCCCCAGAGGCCCCCAGCCTCTCCCTAACCCCTTCCCAGTTAGTTTCCTGGGGCTTCTGCTCTGGAGGGGGGGCAAGTGTCCCCACTCTGGGAGGCCTTGAAGCCCAAAGCTGGCCCAGAGGAGGCAGAGAGAGGCAAGGAAAGAAGGAGGGTATCGGGCGGGGGGAATGCCTCTCCCCCCACCCAGAGGCCCCACCCTGTCCCTGCAGCTGGCTCCTGTGACATCAGCAGCACAATTCTGTTAGGTTCACTTTAGAGTTGATGGAATTATCTGAAGGCCAATGCCATAATTCAGACTGACAGCTCCAGCCTTGAGGGCAGCCCCTCTTCTGTGAAGTCGGCGCTGACCTGGTGGGTGGAGGAGGGGCTTAGGGGGCTGGGGGCCCTAGGACTGAGCATTGGCCTCCATTGGAGACAGAGGCAGAGGTGGTGGGCAGCCCTTCCAGGCTGGCGGGTGTTGGCCAAGGCCATGTGTTTGGCCTTTTGGGATGGGCAGCCCCACCCCTGGTCCAGGGCCCCCCGCGGCTTTCTTCTCTACCCCAAAGCCAGTCCTGCAGCACAGTTTGAAGAAAGCGGTCCGAGTGCCCACCGGGTCCTACAAGCTGGGCCTCTGCTTATAAAGCATCAGAAGAACTGCACTGGGAGAAAAGCTTCAGCCACAAAAGGGAGTTGAAAACTTTTGATCTAATCCACTTACCCACTTTACAAGTGGGGAAACTGAGGCAGACAGCAAACTCTAGAACCAGTCTTTGACTCTAAATAGTGGTTCTCAATTTCCAATGTCTGTGGGGATGGCTGAAGGGGGAAGTTATTATAGAGCAGATTCCAGAAAATTCTGTCGTTCCAGACGCCCAGAGGAAATGGGTCCCGGAAATCCGCTCCGCGCCCCCAGGGTTCCCCAGCACCTGTTGACGCCAGGGTCTCCAGAGCCCGCCCCGCCCAGCGCCCCGCCCCTCCCCTGCGCCCCGCCCCAGAGACTCACCGATGCACACGTTCTCGTCGTCCAGCTCGGCAGAGCCGTTGCGGTAGTAGCCCAGACGGCAGTGCTGGCAGTGCTGGCCTCGCGTGTTGTGTTTGCAGCTGACACAGGTCACCACGTTGAGGAAGTCGATGTAGCTACAGCGGTTGGAGTGGCCATAGCACTCACAGTCTGGGCCAGCCGAGCGTGAGAAACACCACGGGTCAGTGAGCCAAGGCAGACTGTGCCTTCCTGCCACCCCCTGCACCATGTATTGGGGGAAACTGAGGCACGGGGCTAGGACAGACCAGCCCGAGGACATGCAGGGAGGCCGGATCTGCCACGGGAAGGTACCATGGGCCTCCAACACTTCTGTACCATCTGGGAGGAGGCAGGCACGCCACCTTTGAGCCACAGGAAGGACCCGTGTGGGCCCAGCCACAAGTTCCCACCTGGCCCTGGGGACAGGAACCCAGGGAGGGCCTTGGACAGCACCTGCCTGGCGGGGTGCCAGGCTGACATGCTCTTGGAAGGATGCCTGCGAGATGCCGGGTGACTGGAAGTGATTCATGCAGGGAGGATGGGTCATGCAGCCAGCGTGAGCTTAGGAAGGGCAGTTGCTGGGTCCGTGGCGCTCACCACTGCACCCCCAGTGACTCGGTGAAGGACAGACGCATGCACGGACGCTGGGCGAGATGGAACCGACCAGGAGCTTCCTCCACATGCTGCTTTGGAAGGTGGTTGGAAGGGAAACGCCCACCTGCTGGACCTTTTACTATTAGCCTGAGCTGTTCTGCAAATGCGACTGGCACCAGAGGGCCTCCTCTTGCACACCCCCGAGAATGAATGCCATCTTGGGGTTTGGGCTGGGGCCATCTTGTTTCGCCTCCTGATCATCTTGGCCTGGCTTCTGACCTCTTACTGCATGCACATGGCTCCACACCGAGGACAGCGATCCCTGTGCTGTCCTGCTGTCCCCTCCAGCCTCACCACCCCAGCCCAGCCCCCATCTCCCGGGACCGGGAGCGCTCTATGACTGTCGGAGCGAGGCATCCTAAAGGTGTTGGAGCTTCACTGCCTGCCCCCACGAAGGCGGCCATCCCTTGATGTCCCTCCTAAGGGGCACAACATCCCCTTCAAAAGGAAAGCCAGTGTGGCTGCCCTTGAATGGGAAGGACGCTGGCCACCCTCCTGGAATGCCATCTGTGTATCTCAAGAGGACCCAACCTCCCTTTTGTGGTGGGAGAGGAAAGAAATGAACCTCGGAGCTGTGCCAGGGAGGAGACCGAGGGCACGCCACACCTTGGGCTTCCTGGATCCTTCCCCTTCACCTGTCCCTTCCAGGTGAGGCATCCAAGTGTCTCAAGGAGTAGTGGCAGTGACCCCTGTGTCCCAGCTCTTGCTTCCACTGAGACAAGCCCCTGGGCCACACCTCCAGGGGAGCCTGGACAGACTATTTCTGGTTGCTGCTCTGCCTGCCCCGTGCCTGCCCACTGTGCTTCTGACTCATACCTGCTCCCAGCTCCCTTGGGGATGGAGGACTGAGGGAAGAGAGGTTCAGCTTCACCTTGACCCAGCTACTCCGGGAGGGTTTTCTGAACCAGGCACGGGTCCTCCGTCCTGCATCATTATTTTCCAGCGGAGGTGAGGATAGAGGTGCTGGAGGAGGGCTAGTCCGGCCCGGGGCCTTCCTCTTACCTTGGAACTCTTCAATGGGCACCACTTGAGCTGATTTGGGCTTGAGCTGGAAAGGTTTGGAGGCCGGGGCAGGGGCAGCGGCAGAGGTGCCCACAGCTTGGAGAGATGAGAAATAAGCTCCTTCGTTGCCACGGTCCAGCTGCCCCGGGCAGGCTGTCCGGGCCCCGGGAAGGCCCAGCAAAGGCTTCCACCGTGCTCTGGGGATGCTCCGGGGCAGCCTTGTCACCTGCTCAGATGTGAGGGGACACAGCACATCCAGGAGCATGTGGAAAAAGCCCTGCCTTCGGTGCCCCTTCGGAGATCGCTTACACACTCGGCTGGATTAATCCACCCCCCCCAATTCCTTTTCTAACCCCCAGCAACCCCTGACAGGGTGCAAGGTGCTTTGCTGAAACTGATTTTTTTTTTTTTAATGATCTCAGGCATTGCTTGAGATCTCCAAACCCTCCTCTCCAAACTCCCGTGAGCATCAAATCCAGAGAGTGGCCCTGGTGTCCAAGGCTTTGGCAACTCCCCTTCTGACGCATCCCCCCTCTTTCAGCCAAAGCGAGTCCTTTCCTATCCAGATTCCCCGCTCAGCGGTGCTGCGAGCCGCAAGCCCAGACGGCCTGCCTTCCGTATCGGAACCCACCAGGACCTGGCCGCATCTTGGAGAGCCAGCAGGACGCTGTCCAGGCAGCAGAGAGGGTCCAGCGTCCCTCTGGGAGCCTGCGGCGCCCTAGGCGGTACGGGGAGGGAAGTGATGGCTCCAGGGTCTCCATCACCAGGGAGGATGCAGGGCCGCAGGGGCCTGGAGACCCTCACCTAGTGTGGGTCCAGCTCCAGAACTGCCTGCCAGCAGAGGGCGCCAAGAACCCTGCTCACTGCTCACGGAGGGGCTGGGCTGTTGTCTAAGCAGGCAGTAGGACTAATGTCCATGGAACAGGTGGGCTGGGCTGGGAACAGCCTCCCTTCCTGGAGAGTCGGGCAAGCCCCTGTGTGCTTCCTGTGCGTGTCCGTTTCTGGCCACCAATGAGCCTACGCGTGTCTCCTCCCACTGCTGTAGGAGACTGAGGCTCCCAACTAGGTACCAGTAGCTTCTACTACGCCTCCTGCCCTGCTCATGGCCACCCCACCACCATGCCTCTGCACTAGCTGGCCCTGCACCTGGAATGCGCTATCTTCTTTCATCTGCCCATAGCCCGCCCCTGTCTGGGTCTGACTTCCACCCGGCTCCTGCAGGAGTCCTGACCCTCTCTGGGCTCCAACCCTGCCCCCCGGGGTACTGGGACTGACAGTGGCAGGACAGGGTTCCTGCTATCAGGGCAGAGTCTCCACTCAGCTCCAAAGCCCTTGGGGGGAGTGAAGGATGAATAGGCATTGGGTCTGGCGGTATCACCCTGGGCATCTCTAAGATGAGAGCTGGAGTGGGGGCAAGTAGAGCTCCAAGCCCCACCCCCAGCTCTCACGGACCCCCCCCACACCTGAGTCCCACCACATACACCTGCTGCCTCCACTAAAGAGGGAGGGGCCTGGGGTCTAAGGAGCTTTCGGGGTGTCTAATGCCCGTGCAGACCCTCCCCCCATACCTTCCGCACTGGAGGGCATCTGGGGCCAGGGGGAGCTCTCCCCAAGAGGGGCAGCGGCAGATGGCCTGATCCGCTCTTGGGGGAAAGAAGAGAAGAAACTCAGTTATGTGACAGGGTGGGGCTGGGGGGGGTTGCTGGAGACATACTGAGGCATCACACACCCTTAGCAGCAGCAGTCCTGTAAGAAGCGGCTCTGTCTACACTGGCCAACTAGAACTGGGTCCAAATCTACCAGAGAGGCAGCGTCTACACTACTGCAGCTTATGGAGGGCACACGTGGACTTGAAGCCAGATGGGGGATGGGGGGAGCCCAAGAATCTGCATGCTTTTGGCTGTCCTTTCCTCAGTGGGCCACCTGATTTACGCGACTTTTCCACTCTCCCTATGTTGTCCCTGTTCCCACCGAGGGTAGACTTGGATCCAGCTCCGTGTCTGGGCCCAGACCTCTTTGTGCTGAAGTCCCTGGCTAATGACTGCAAAGGGGGACATGTGTCATCAAACGTGTCCAGAAGGGTCCTTGGAGGCTTTCTGCCTGACACCAATAAGGGGCCCAGAGCCCCTCCGCCATCTGGCCTACCTCCCTAACCCACGGTTAGCATACACTCTCACCAGGGACCCCAATGCGTGGCAACCCCCAGTGCCATAGAGCCTATCTCTGGGACTAACGGGACACAAAGCAGGGGAAGCAAGCTGGGCTGGCCAAGGCAAGGCATCACTCAGCGCTGAATTTCAAAGGACAAACCCAGAGGGACAGGGGAGAAATTGGATTCTTTCCACTTCTTAAAGGGATTACACACGATGCCGGTTGGTGGGGAGAAGAAGGAAATCTACCAGCTAAAAAGTGCAGGAGACTTTCCAGCTGGGAGCTGGGAGACTTTGGACATCAAATTGACATTAATATGGTGCTCAACGAGCAGAAGAGGCTGCAGGACCCAAATTGGCAAGGGCTTAATTAGAGCCACAATAAAACCCGCCCTGAAGGCTTTTTGCTTTGGAGCCTTTCTCCCACCACCCTCTGCGGGCGAGGATTAGGCAACTTGAGCCGTTTTTCCTGCCCCGCAGCCCCTGCCCTGCAGACAGCTTGACACTGACAGGAGGGGGAAACATCTGGGCCAGAGGTTCACAGGCGCAGCTGGACTCGGGCCAAAGAGCTGAAGCACCTGTTGGGAGGCACGTGTGGGAGACTCAGGACCTCGCTGGGGGCTGGGACCTGGGGGCCAGAAAGACCCCTGGCTGGGCTCTCTGGGGCCTGCTCAGGTGTGCGGGAAGAGCATTCTCACAATGGCCCGTGTCGCATGCCGGGCCAGATGGACGACCCGTCTGCTCCTTTGGAACTGGGGAGCTGCGAGCAAGCCAGGTCTTAAAGACGGCACCAGCTCCCGGCCTCTGAGGCTGGGGGTGGCAGGGCTGGGTGGTGGGGCCCGGAAGCTGGCCTCTGGAGTCAGCCAGCCCTGAGTCTGGATCCTGCGTGGGTGCCTCTGTAACCCTGTTACCTTGAGCAGCTGCCTCTTCCTTTCTCAACAGCTTAACTGACGTGCAATTTGCGTACCGTGAACCCAGCTGTTCTTTCCTGAGCCTCAACGCCCTCACCTGGGGGGCCCGCAGCTAAGGGCCCTCATCCTCAGAGCTGTGAGTCAGGAAGTCAGGAGAAGTCCACAGTCTGCCAGCGGGGCCGATTGTCATTATTAGTAGGGGTCCGGGTACATGGGGCCCAGGGCACAGGGTTCCTTTGCTAAGAGGAGCGACGGCCCCCAAGACGTGGGCTGCTGGGGTCGTTGTCTGCTGTGCTGGAACCGCCTTCCCCCGGAGCGCTCTGCCGCCTGGCACTGGGCTCAGCTGGCAAAGCCGACCACGACCCACTGAGGGCTTGAGGAGCCCCTTTCTTGCCACTTGGGTCCTGGAGACCCTCACAATTCAAGCCCCCCCTGCCTCGGCTCACTGCCCTGGCCTTGGACTCTCTCCTCACCTCCCAGTGGTGCAGTTTTCTTGCCCTACGCCGCTTGCCCCAGATCAGAAGCAGCTCGGAGAATGGAGTCAGGGTTCCTGTGTGTATGTGTGTGCCCGTGACACAGCAGCTCGTCTCCCACCCCGACAGGCTGCTGTTCGCATGCAGACACGGCACCCACCCCGGCGAGTGTGGCCCCCGTCGGCTAGTCACAGGCTCAGCACAAATGATCAGGCGGCCGGCCAGCTTCTGTCCTGGAATTGCCAGCGTGGACCCATTCTTCACCCCAAAGAGGATCCCTGGGCAGGAGGCTCCCCTGAAATCCCTGAGTCTCCTGCAAACGCCTCCCGTGGAGAAGAGAGGGGGACAGAAATAAGAGCCGGGGCGGGTCACCCTCTGGGTTCCCTGGAGGAGTTAAGCAAGACAGCTCTGGGACGAGGACTTTTCCAGGGCATTCAGCCAGACTTGGAGAGGGCTGAGCCCCACTCGGGGGCGGGGGCGGGGGGCGAGGCTGAGCGTGGATCTCTTCCCCAGCTGAAGGAGGGGTCTCTGCCCATCGGAGATGTGGTCTTCCCCTCCCTGGTCCGTGTGCAGACAGAGGAAGGGTCACGGCTCTGCCCAAGGACTGAGGCGCCCCTGCCATCTCCTCTTTGCTGGGACGCCCCTTCCCAGCTGGGACCAGGAAGAATTCCCTTGGACCCATCCTCCTGGCACCCTCTGGGAAGGACGAGTCCTTTCAGACTCCCAGTGTTTGCAGGTGAGCCCAGGGGGCCACCCAGCACCCCAGGCCTCGAGTATGTACCCATCCAACTTTGGAAGGGAATTAGGACCAGAGAGCAGGCGTTTCCAAGCCTGTCTGTGGCTGCAGACCCCTAAGAATGGCTGCTGTGGCTGAGGAGGGGCGGGATAGGATGCTGGCCCTGTCCCCCACACTCAGCCCGGAAAAGCTCGGCAGGCCCATTCCTAAACCCCCGGCCCAGAGGTGCCCCTTCTGCATTGCTGATCAGTCTCTCGCCTGCTTGGCTAACTCTGTACTGTCCACTCCCAGGGGATCTGGTGCTGAGATGGTGGGGACAGAGTGGGGCCTGGGGGTGGGGAGGCAAGCTCCACGGAGCACTGAGACAGAAAATCTCCTGGGAGAGCTCCTCAGTGCCACCGGGCACCTCCCCTTCCTTGGTCACCCTGTTCTCCCGGCCATGCTGGTCTCGGGACCTGCCTGACCAGTGCTGTGGGAGGCAGGAGGAATAAGCATTGAGGGGCTTGAAGGGAGCCCCAGATCCCCACGCTCGGGCCCAGTCATGGGGGACCCAGACATCCTGGAGGCCCTCCGTCAGCCCCACACTCTCAGGCTCTAGGGTCTAATGTGCTCTAAGAGCCAAGCCCCACGGCAGACACCCGACAGCAGCACACATCATACACGGGGGTGGGGACATGGCGGGACGTGGGGAAGAGCAGGGCAGCCGGGCTGTCCCTGAGCACCCACCTATGGGCTGTGGGGTGCTGGGGGCCATCGGGGCCCGCCCGGTGGAAGTAGAGGGAGCGAGAGTGCTGGGGTCCCCTCTCAGGGCCACAGTGGCCACAGGGGCTCTGGGGACAGGGTCTTTCCGGGGTCTGCCGACGCCTGGCAAGAGACGAGAAAGGCAAGAGGGTGGGGAGTTGGCAGGTATGGGGTGCTGCAGAGAGGCCAGCTGAGTGGGCCAGCATCCCCTCCGGGGTCCAGCTTCCTCTGGCACCGTCTCTGCCCCCAGTGTCCCAGCAGGGAGCAGGCCACGGTGGGCTGTGGCCCCCCTCGAGCATGTCTGAAGCGTGACATGGGCCCCTGGCGGGCCCTTTGACCCTGGCGAGTCCTCTCCCGCTGACTCTCAAAGCTGGTGGCAGAACCCACGGGGCGGGGGGGTGGGGGGCGGTCCGGGAAGCACCGTGCTTAGAGCCGCAGCCTGCTGATGCCGTGTCAGCCCGTGGGTGCCCACGCCCGACCTCCCTCCCACAGTCTGACCCCTCTGCGAGGGCCTGTAGGCAGCAGGACCCCGGCGTAGCTGCCCCCGCCTCCCAGGCCCACAGGTGCAGACTTCCTGAGCCAGGCACACCCCACAGTCGGGCTGCGGGAGGGGGCACTTCTGGCCCTGGCCAGGGAGAAGGGACCCCCATTCTTGTCCTGGAGGAGAGGGAGGCGTGGGGAGTGCACCCTGGGGTTGCAAGGCCCTTTCCAAAGCAGCACTGACCAGGAAGCTCGAGGGGAGAAATGTGGGGGCGCTGGCTGAGGGCCACAGGGGGACAGGAGGGAGCGGGAGAGGTGACGAAGTGAAGGGGTGTGGTTGGAGTCATGCACTGGGGGCACCTCTGGCCTTCCCCAGGGCGGAGGACCAGCGCGTACTTACTGCCAACAGCAGAGCCTGCAGCAGCACCTGGGGGAGAGAAGGAGGGTCACAGGGCCTCCCAGCGAAGTTGGGGGGCGGTGACAGAGCTGGGGGAGGGAGACCTGGAGCCGCATGCAGGAATGACCCCATCTACCCGGTTTCATCCTCACAGCTGCCCTGAGAGGAAGGGGCCACCTTTGCCCATTTTGCAGATGGAGAAGCTGAGTGTCAGAGTTGGGACCAACCTCCGGGGGACCTGCTGGTAAGTGTCAGACACTCCACTGGGGGCATCACGTGCACTGGTCTTTGAGGTTAGACTCTCAGGCCCTCCTGTGCAGGACAAGGAGGAGGGGTGCCTTTCTTCGGGGAGCACCGGCGTGCCGGAGGACCGGAGGGGCACCGCGGCCGGGGCAGGCGGGTTTCCTGGAGGCACTGGTGGAATTGACCTCCAGGCAGAAACCACACTGTGTGCATCCGTCTGCGGGAAGCGGAGATGGCGGGGGACTCACGGAAACGAGAATCGTGGCAGCTGCCGCATGTGGCTGACACGTGCTGAGCGTGGCCCCGCGCAGCCAGCCTGGTCCTTGCAGAACCCCACGGGGGCTCATCAGTGATCTGGGACACTGGCCTCCAGGTAAAGTGACCTGCCCAAGGCCACACCGCTGAGAGTGGCCTGTGTCCGTGCCCCGGGGGCTGAAGGATGCCCGAGGAAAGGAGACGGGGGGGTAAGAACCCTCAGTCGCAGAAGGAAGGAGCTGGTGCCAGGCTTCCCTGGCTGGGTGTCCCTGAAGAATGGCGGAGGGGGAGGACGCCCCTCGTGCCCTGGGAGGCCCTTGGGGGGGGGTGTATGGACAGCAGGCTACGTGAGGCACAGACCTCCCCAGAGTGAGCCCAGGGGACACCAGGGCAGCCTGGGAGGATGAGGGGCTGGACTGGGTTAGGACAGGATTCTGAGGGCCCTGGGCAAGGGCACCCTGGTCGGGAAAGCCCTTTGCCTGCGCGAGGAGGATGGACTAGCGGGGCCCTGACTGGAGGGGATATGGAGACCAAGCGGGGGCAGTGGAGAGGAAGGGCTAGCGTCTGGGGACCCCCACACTTGCAGCTTGGCCCCCTGGGTGTTGGTGCCATTGCCTGAGATGGGGACACGGTGGGAGCAAAATTAAGCTGGGACTTGTTTCTGTCTGTGTCTTGGGGGCTGTTTTCTCCTGTTGTCCTAGAGAAGGTGGGGGTCCCAGGTGAGGAAGCGACAGGCTGAGGACACACGGCACTTCGGACCTCATCTCTGCTCCTGGGGATTCCAGGAGAAACCCCTCTTTCCCGGGGCAGGGGTGGGTACTCTGGAGAAGCAGGGCCAGCTCCAGGAGCTCCCCCAGATGAAGGGGTTTTGCCTGCCCCTGCAGGGCAGAGGGACGAGGGTCCAGAGGCAAAGCCTGGTCTGCATGTGCGGGCGCATGTCTGCCCCCGGCAGGCTGGACAGAGGGTGGCCACCTCAGTCCGAGCAGGTCTGTGCACCTGCCAGCGTCAGGAGAGGGCAGATCCTTCCAGGAGGTAGGGCAGAGAGCGGGAAGGAGGAGGCCAGTGGGACAGATGAAGGGAGGCAGACTGCCAGGGAGGGAGGAGACAGCCACTAAAGAAAGGGCTCAGGCAATGGCTCCAACAAAGAGATGGGTCAGCACCTGGCAAGGAGGGAGCCGGGCGGGGCGGCTGTCAGCGCCCAGAGCTCTGAGTGCCTTTGAAGGCCCAGAGTGCCGTGAGCGCCTGGCAAGTCACCCCTTCAAAGGCCTGTCGCCCGGCACAGGCACGACATGCCTGTCACGGCCTCGCTGTGAGGTTTTCAGCTTTGATCAGCCTAAAGTCACATAAATCTTGCACATCGGTGGAGGGAGGGTGCTAGTGGAGGGGCTCCCACGAGGGTGCCCAGGCAGTGGGGTGGTCCAGGGGCCAGGGGCCGCCGCCCTGCTCTGGCTTTGGAACTGGGCCCAAACCAGTTGCTCGCTGCTGGACCAGGGCTGCTGGGCCTCAGTGTGCCCATCTGGGGAGTGGGGGGTACTCATTCCGCCCGTGGGGCAGCTGTGAGGGCTACGAGAGAAGCTCTGCATCGGGTGCCTGGTGCAGCCTCTGTCAGAGAGCTGGACAAGTGTCAGACCTCAGCGAAGTCGCTGGAGGCTGGCCAGGGAGCGTCCACCCTGGGGCTGAGCCCCAGCCCCTCCCCACAGCAGCTTGGGGGCGCCCTAGCATTTGTGATTTCATGAAAACATCCATGGACTCTGGGGGGGCCCTGATGAGTGGCCCCCCCCCAGGCTGTTCCCGTCGCAGGCACGTGTGGGTGCACCCTAGCCCTGGCACAGAGGGGATGATGCAGAGAAAGGAGGCCTGCAGGGATCTCGGGCCAGGGCCTCCAAGGACCCCTCCTTAAAAATGGGATAAAAGAGACCCACTTCCTGGGGTGACTCTGAGGGTCGAGGGTGTGGTGACCGCGCAGCACGCAGCGCCCGAGTGGCAGGTTGTAAACGCCCCGTAAGCTGGTTACGGTGCTGCCAGCCACAGCCTGGAGGCAAGAGTCCCCCCACCCCCTGCCAACACCCCACGGTGCCATCTTTCCAGCCTGCAGGGCCAGGCAGAGGAAGGACAGCAGGAAAGATGCTGAGCCGCTCATCTCGGGTCTCCCCTGGCGCCTGGGGTGGGAAGGGTGGCTTAGGTGTTGCAGGGGGCAGGGGCACCTTGTAACGGGGGGCGGGGGGCAGGGTGAGTGTGCACGCTTGTATCTGTGCACACGTTGGCACGCCCGTCTGCACAGGTGTGTGCTCGTATGCTCGCAGGTATCCGCACGTGCGTGTGTGTGCATGTCTGTGACTCACAGCTCCTGGGATGGAGAGCGGGGGAGACCGCAGTCTCCCGGGCCGGGCCGGGCAGGGGTACGTACACGCGTTGGGAGAGCCGTGGGGCAGCGGTAGGTAGGAGCCGGCGCGCCAGGACCGGGTGCGGAAGTTCCTCTTGCACTTGCCGCAGTCGGGGCCGGTGGTGTTGTGCTCACACTCGCACTGCAGGCTGCCCTCCCGCACGGAGCACAGGTTAGCGTGCAGGTTGCACTTGCACCTGCGGGGGACACAGAGGGCCAGAGAGGTCAGTGACTCATGGGCAGGTGGGCGCGGGAGGGTGACCGTGGGGGCCTCCCGTCCAACCTGCTGGGACTCTCCTTTGGGACAAAAACTCCCCGATCGCCCCGCTCTTCAGAAAGCACCTGATCTACCCTTTCCCAGGCTAAAGCCGCGCCCGGAGCCCCAGCCACCGGTCCACTCCCCGGTCGAGCGGTGCCTGTGACGCTCTCCGCCATCCCAGGGCGGGTGGCGAGGTGACCCTGACCCAGACGCTCTGTCCTAATCACCTTTGCTCTTGGCTGAGGCAGGATGACAGGCAGCACAAGCTGCTCACCAGCGCCCCTCGCAGACCCGCGCGGCCCGGCCGCTGCTCCGCGCTCAGCCTCGCCCCACACCCACACCCCGGAGGGCAGATGGAGAGAACCCCTACTACTCCCAAACCCCGGTCGGTTTGTCCACACATGTATTATTCATTCATTCATTCAAATATTTATAGGCAACTCATTATTCTGAAATCAAGTAAATAAAGGGAGAGAATCCAGCGTGTCCTGTGTGTCCTGTGTAAACTGTACCCCCGCGTAACGAACTGTGGATGGGGGGATGTTTCTTTTTATAGAAGCGTCCCCGCTAATAACCCAAGAAGGCAGGCAGGAGTGGGAGGTCGCCATGCAGCAGCCCTGCCTCGGCCAACGGCTCCAGGCTGCGAGCGCAGAGACAGCCGACGGACGGAAGGACACACGGCACCCGACGTGGTCTCACCCAAGTCCACTGAACTGGAATCTGACGGGGCCTCTGCATCCGTCTACAAAATCCCAGGGAATACGGAGGCCAGAGACACACACACACGACAGCAGCGGGACGCAGTCGGCCCAGACAGAGGGGACTCCGGGAGTGACCAGCCAGCATTTCTACCCGATGAGGGGTGGGGGGCAAAGACGGATGGGGGGGCCACATCAAGAGAAGCCTCAGAGGCATCAGCCATCTGGATCCTGATTCAAACAGCCTTAAACTCAAATAAACAAATAGTCACGAAACAATCGGAAATAGGGAGACTGACTGTATTTGATGACCTTAAGTTAACGTTGGTTAGATGCAGGGATGCCGCTGTGGTCACATTTTTTAAAGTCTTTCTCCTTTCAAGATATACACTGAAGTACTTACAGATGAAGTGAACCGGGCTCTGGGATTTGCTTCAGAGTGACACGGAAAGGAAGAAGGTGGCCAGAGATGGGGATGAAACCCGACAGACCACGGGTTGGTAGCTCCCTGGGTCGGGGGGACAGGTATATGGCGGTCCTCTGCTGGCATCCGTGGTGGAAATCCTCCAGAGTAAAAAGAAAGCCAGAAGACTCTAGGTTCTGATACGGGAAGATTTCCAAGGTGTATTGTCCATGTTTGTAAAAAGCAACTTGCAGAATAATGTCGTTTAGTAGAATCCTGTTTTTGTTAAAATATGCAAAAACTATAGAGCTCGGGTACCAACTACGTGCCAGGCTCTGGGCCGGGGAGCAGATCGTGGAATGGTCAACAGAGCCGGGGTGGGGGGTCCACGCTCCCACAGAGTATACAGCCTGTCTAGTAGGGGAATGACCGAGACCCGTGATTGGGTTAACCCGAGAAGCACGGGGGGCATTTTAGGGCAGTGAAACCATTCTGTGTGACAAGATCACGGTGGCAGCAGGACTCTGTGCATTGGTCCAAACCCACAGAGCTGACAACCCTGAGAGGGACCCCGACGCACCTGTGGGCTCTGGCTCACAGTAACACAGCAGTGCTCATCGCCTGTAGCGAATGATCCCACTAGCGCAGCAGTAATGATGGGGGGCCGTGTTCACGGAGACCGGGTATCGGGGACCCTCTCCCCAACATGAAGTCTATTAATTTGACCATAGTCATCGTGCCAATCTTTAGTTCATGGCAATTGTTACATGTGCCTAAGCACCATACAGAGGAGAGGGGCTAAGGGGGGGGGGGGGGTCCTAACTTAGTCTTGGGGGAGCAGCATAGGCTTCCAGGAAGAAAAGTTTAAAATTAAGGCCTGAAGGAGGATCAAGAGTTTGCCAGACAAGGAGGAGAGAACCTTCTGGAAAGAGGCAAGAACCGGAGGAGAACCCCTACTAGGGCTGAGAAGAGTTCTACCCCTGAGGTCTGAGGGGAGCCCAGCGGTGGGAGGAGGCCAGCCCAGGACACAGAGGTCGCTGGGAGGTTGGAGGAGGTCTGCCCGACGCACTGTTTCCGTTGTTTACCTGGGGCACCAGAGCCCGGCTGGGGAGGTCAGGGGGAAAGCTGGGTGTCGACCGGCAGCGGAGAACCCAGGCCTGGGCTCGGATGGAGGCATGGAGGCCCCCCAGTCAGGCCAGTCTGTGGTATCCAGTCATAGTGACCCCAGGCACACTAACATGTATATCTTCCTGTTACATTTAAAATACATATATCCACCCCCAAATCACCAAGAAAAAAATGTATCTGGGTTTCAGCGTGTTTGTGCCAGGTTGGGAGGGAATGGGCTGATTCGTGGCTTTTCTTTCTTTCTTTGTCGTTGCACATGTACTACAGGCTCTATCATGAGCAGGTATTAGGTTTATAAACAGATGGCAAATGTTATTTTCTACCATGCGGTCAGGCCTGACCCTCTCGAGAACTTACTGCAGCTCAGATCTGGGCTCCACGGGGCATGAAGAAGCCCGTTCACTCTTTCAGAGTTCCCATCTGCAGCCGCAAAGGCACAGGGGGCCTTCCATGTGCCCGGCTCTTGGAAAGGCACTGGGGGATGGGCCAGCACCTGTTGGCGCGGTGACGCTTCTTCCCTGGGCAACCAGACCCCAGAGCTAGTCCTTGGCAAAGAGAGGTCCTGTGCTTAGCCTTACTGGTCAGCACATACGATGCTTCCCTAATGCCCTCAGGCCCCCCTCCCTGACCCCCCCACCCACAGTGCCCATTAGCAGATCACAGGCCCTGACAAGTCCTGCAGGAAAGAAACCTGACTTTGTCTAACAGAAGTTTGTTTGCAAAACGAATTTGACTCAGATTTTTTTTTTCCCCTTCTGAATTCCTATTTAACATCCCACTGAGCTAGCTGGAGAGGAACACCCCAGCTGTGTGGAACCAGGAACATACTCCATGCCTCTGGCCCGAGGATGGGATATTTTTAGATATCAGCTACATATCAGCCATCTCAACTTTGGGTGATAACACTGACCTTGGCTTGTTAAAAATGCATAAAGACTGGCTGAATCGGAGAAGCAGATTGTAGTGATGGTGGCGGGGAGTCCAGGGTGTCAGAGTTGGACAGGCCCGTGGGGCCCAGGCTGGGGAGAAGCCGAGGCCACGCAGCTAGTTCCTCAAGACCCAAATCCTGACCCAGGCTCTGCCCCAGTTCTGTGCTGGCCAGGCCCTCCCACAGGCCTCCTCTCCCAGAGGGTGTCTTGGCTTCTCCACCCTTCCTGGCTGAGCCTGGAATGAGCTCGGTGCCTCCTCCCCCAAGGAGAGAAGTTCCCCGTCGGGCATGGCTGCCAGGAGAAGCCCACATAGTGGGGGAAAGCCTCACCAGGGCTGGCACAGACACGGAACCCCGTCAATGGAGCTGCTTCTTAGACTTCCTGACTTTGCAGGAAGGACTGGGAGACGCTGTCTCTGTGTTTATACAGGTGCGCACCCTTGTTCAGGGCTTGGCCTTTCCGGCTCTCTCCCTGTCTCTCCGGGTCTCTGTCTCTCCCTCGCCATCTCCATCCAGCCTGGGTTCTGAGCTTGCTTTCCTCTGGACCTCCGCAGACGCTGTTCCCTCCACCTGGAGCCCTGCCGGGCCCTGCCCCCTTCTCCCAAAGCTAACCACTGGGGGAAGTGTCAGGTTTGAGACCAGATGTCACTTGTGCAGGGGACTTCTCACTGTCCCAGCTCTTTCGGCCCCTGTTACACTGTTCCTCACCCCAGTAAGCATCAGCATCGGCACGGTCTCCCCCAGTGGAGCGCACAACGTGACCGTGGGAGAGGCACGCGTGAACTATAAAGCAGTTTCGGGGTTCGTATTTATTTTGAACACACAGTATTTTTTTTTAAGTGACAAACGCTTCAGACCTGGGATCTTAAACGTATCATCACCCAGGTGAGACAGTAAGGCATATTCACTTAAAGCAGCTATGAAGCAAGGAAATTAATAATCCGGGACATCCACATGCACGAGAGTGAGGTCACACCACAAACAGAAATTAACTCAAAATGGATCGAAGACGTATATGTAAGAGTTAATACAAGAAAAACAGAAACATACGGCAAATCTCTGACTCTGGGTAAAGCGGTGGTTTCTTCGCCAAGACACCCAAAGCACAGACAACAGCAGAAAAAGATGTATACATTGGATTTTATATAAATTAAAAACTTGGCGTGTGTCAGAGGCCGTCATCAAGAAAGTGAAAAGACACTTCATAGAACGGGAGAAAACTGCTGCGACTTGTGTCTACGCTACAGGATGAATTCCTGCACCTCCGTAATAAAAACATGACCCGCTTTTTAAAGTGGTGAAAGGATCCGCGTAGACCTTTCCCCAAGACACAAGCAGGGCCAACAAGATCATGACAAGATGTCAGCCAAAAGCAAATCAAAATCACCACACGTTAATCTCCCACGTGTATCTTATGTTGATTATCAAAAACACAGACAGTGACAAGTGTTGGCAAGAACAACGCACCACCCAGCGATCCCACCCACAGGTGTACACCCCACCGACACCAGGGCACGCCCGCACGAGAAAGGTGTGCGGGGTGTGCTCGTAGCAGCGGCCTTCACAGTAGCCGAAAAGCAGAAACAACCCAAGGGCTCGTCCACAGAAAAGCAAAACACATGCAAGGGAATATGACCGGGCCATAAAGGGGAATGGGGTTGGGACACCTGCTCCGGCAGGGGTGAACCTGGAAAGCACGAGGCTTAGCAAAAAATAAGCCAGACACAAAAGGACAACTGCTGTTTGATTCCATTTATACAAAATGTCCAGATTAGGCAAAT